CTCTCTCTCTCTCTCTCTCTCTCTCTCTCTCTCTCTCTCTCTCTCTCTCTCCCCTCCCTTCTCTCCCTCTCTCTAATATCTGTATTTAATGATCTCTTCTGTCTGGGTGTGCACATGCATGAGTCTCTCTCTCTCTCTCTCTCTCTCTCTCTCTCTCTTTCTTTCTCTCTCTCTCTCTTTCTTTCTCTCTCTCTCTTTCTTTCTCTCTCTCTCTCTCTCTCTCTCTCTCTCTCTCTCTCTCTCTCTCTCTCTCTCTCTCTCTCTCTCTCTCTCAAGGACTTGGGACCCGAGTAGACCAGTATTATAGAAGAAGAAGAATTTTCTGTTTATACCTTTCCTCCTCCTTACTGACCTGAAAAGGGTGTTAATTAAGCCTTCTTTAGCAAAGACACCAGAAGGCCTACGGCCAGTGGTTGTATACCTTTTTATTGATAGCGCCCACTATTATCACTTATAAGCTTTTCTTTTTTTTAAATTAATTAATTAATCAATTATTTTTTTGGGGAAAGCGTTTTACAGCGCTAGCAACATCAGACGATCATAATATGTGCATGTGAGACTCACGTTTTCAGTATGTAGGACATTTTAAATTCTGTCCCGGTGGCGGCCGAAGCATGGCCTTCTCTAACATTTTATGTCGTTATCCGGATTCGAACCCGGGACCTACTGAATGAGAGGCAAGCACAGTAACTCTCGACCACGAGAGCCCCCCCCCCCTCCCCCCACACACACACTGCTCACCAAAATTATAGTTTACTTAATCGCCCGCTAGTAGGAAATATCGCCTAAGTTGGCAAGCGTGCCCTTGGTTTGGGAGGGGGTGGGGGTGGGGGTTGTATTAATTAATAGTCCCCCACCCCACCCCCACCCCCGAATGATATAGTGGCACGGGGTGGTTCAGAAGTGATCTCGTGGCTGTACAGTTCAGCATCTTTGCCAACTTTTTATTTTGCCTTTAAGGTAACGATCGAGACTTTCTTGGAGAGTGACAGGATATAATATTCACGCAAACAAAATACATGTTTACAGTATGGAAAGTCTGTGGGGAGATGGAATTTAAATTTTTGTACTGGTCACTTTTTTTCTGATAATAAATTGGTGTGGGATTTGATCGTACAACATGTTTCCAAATCATGTATAAAAATGCCCATGGCTACTCATGGCGGAGTTAATTGATCTAATTCGAATGACTATCCGAGAACGAAGCGTTATTACCGTCTATCTCTAAATGTATGCCTTTTGTGACCCCCCCCCCCTTTCTGATATAGCACAAAGAGGTCTTTATTAATCTATATAACAATACAGTAGTCTCCGCCTAAGATCCCGGTGCTCGGGAGCAAGGAAATGCGGGATCTTAGGCGAACCGGGATCTTAATCGATGAACCCAGGGAAGAATCTATGGTGACCCATGTTAAGGCTCAAAATCGGTAAAATGGTCTCCCTCCTCCCTACAATGAACTGACGTGCCCCCTTGGTGGGTTTATGGCATATGACGAGCAAAGAGTGGTTAACCTTGAAGACCTATCACGGTGCATAGTGGCATGAGGCGTGCCATTTTCACTTCTATTATAATCCTATCATGAGTCTCAAGATCTACGCTTATCCAGTTGCCCCTCCTCTTTACCTGTCAAAAATGTATAGCTTTCCGTCTCTGACCGAGTCCCCTCCCCCCCCCCCCCTCCAAACCGCCTTTGTCGTTACACACCATTACGTTGTGAACCCACCAATTAAAATTCAGTCTGTCTCGCAAATTCGGGAGTACAGACAACTGCTGCAATGGTCAAGGAAGAGTTCACGGTTCGATGTGATCCTGCCTGGAGCGCGAACATGTAGGCCCTACCCACCCAGCGAGTGATGCAAGTTTAGGTGGCGAGCTCAGGTGTGAGTGCGATGCGTGGGGAAAACAAACGCGTCGGTCAGTTCACACCCCGGTGTGATCCCGTCTGGGGCAAACATTGTATCGCTTCATCGAGTTTTACAACGTGTATGTGATCACATTCACGATAGTGGTTGATCTTTGACGCGACGGACAGTTTATTGATCTCAACTTTTCACTCTAGGTTGATCGGCTGTGCCCTCCCGGGTTTTTGTTGAGCAAATTATGATCTGAAATGCGGGATCTTAGCCGAATGTAGACCATCAGAGCGGGATCTTAGGGGTGACTTTTGTATAGTAAAAATTCTGTTTTCCTTAAACAACGGGATCTTAAGCGAACCGGGATCGTAAGCGGTGGGATCTTAGGCGGAGACTACTGTAATATGTAGATATAGCTATCCAGGCTGTGGATACTATCTCTCTCCCATTTCTCTCTCTCTCTCTCTCTCTCTCTCTCTCTCTCTCTCGCTTTCTCTCTCTCTCTCTCTCTCGTTCGCTCTCTCTCTCTCTCTCGTTCGCTCTCTCTCTCTCTCTCTCGTTCGCTCTCTCTCTCTCTTGTTTGCTCTCTCGTCTCTCTCTCTCTCTCTCCCCCCCTCTCTCTCTCTCTCTGGGAGTGTGTGTGTGTGTGTGTGTGTGTGTGTGTGTGTGTGTGTGTGTGTGTGTGTGTGTGTGTGTGTGTGTGTGTGCGTGTGTGTGTCGTTCTCATTTAATGACAACAAAGGCTTACGAAAGCTTGTTGGGAGAAAAAAATAT